CGAGCCCATCCCCTTCGGTTCAGGGGTGCGCCAGGGCTGCCCGCTGTCGCCCATTGTGTTCAACATTGTCATGGAGTTCGTAATACGGGCACGGGCGGCAAAAACGGGCGGCTCCGGGTACTCCTTGCGAGACTGCACTATCTCTGTCTCTGTGCTGTGCTCTGCTGATGACGCTGTGCTTTTGGCCCCAGACCGCCCTGCCCTCCAAATCCTTCTGAACCGAGTGTCAGAGGTGGCGGGGTGGCTCGGGCTGAAATTGAAGCCGGCGAAATGCTGTTATCTGCATATTGCGAAGAAGCATACTGTCCGGACTGATTTCTACATCGGCACCGTCCCCATCCCTATCCTTGGGGAGGGGCAAGCTTATCAACACCTCGGGGTTCCCACGGGATTCAGGGTGGATGCGAATCCCCGGGCCGCCGCCGAAAGGGTTGAAGATGAGGCCCAGAAGGTGTTCAGTAGCCTCCTGACCTGACCCCGTGGCAAAAGCTACACGCCATTCGTACATTCATCCTACCTCAACTAGACTTCGCGCTCCTTACCGCTCGCGTGCAGAAGACGGCCTTCCAAAACTTATCAACCTTTATTAAAGAAGGCGTCAAGCGCACCCTCTTCTTGCCGCAGCGTGCCACACCCAGAGAAAAGTTTGCCTAATTTAGGCATAATTTGATGCAGGGATTAGCAACCGCCCCAATGCGTAATGTCTCTAAGAGAGTCTCGTTTGAATCTGGCATCCTATGCGAGATCCACGCATCAATGCGAGACCTGAGCATCGGTTTAATGCTTACATCAAGGTTCGTATGCTTGGCCCACGTACCACGCATAAATGCTTGGATTGGCCGTAAGATGCTTGGCGGAAAAACGAGCTTAACAAGTGCGAGATCCACGCATCAGACGGTCGGTCCAAGCAATATTTTCTCTGGGTGGCAGCCGGGAGCTAGTTTACCTCCCGCTCTCCTGGGGTGGGGCCGGGTCATCCCCACCACAGACTTTGTTGACGTGTGCGCGGTGTCGCCCCTACATTTCAACTCCTGACGTGGTCTCGCCGGCACCATATGGACGGCGGCCAGATCCTCTACCACCCGCCTGAAGAAGCTGGTTCCGGCGCTGCAATGGGGCTTCTGCGAGGAAAAGGCAACCTTTCGGCTTCATGCCAATGGCATGAATCACACCACCATCGTGGACGGGGCCAGCCGGTCCCGCCTCACAGCTGCCCTTCGCCTCGCCATACAGCTCCAGACTTCTCAAGAACCCAGATCAGGGAAAGGTCGCCCGGGTGAGTGCGGTGAATTCCATCAGCAACCATTTTATTTTTGATGGCAGGTATACTAGATTCGCGACTGGCGATTCATTCACCGCGCCCGCCTGGGCGTCCTTCCTCTCAATGGCTGCAAGCGGTGGCTGACGGAAGAGGCTGCTCGTCGGTGCCGGAGGGGATGTCCACATCTCGAGTCCACGGCCCACGTGCTCAACCACTGCCCTTCCGCCCTCGTCGCCGGCCAGCGTCGCCACAACGCCATTCAGAAGCGCCTGGAAGACGCCGAGGAGCGCTACACCCAACTCCAGCTAAGGGTAAACCAAACTCTGCCCTTCTCTTTACGAACCCCCGGCGTGCTTCCAGGTGATGCATCTATCCAGCGCCAGCGCCCTGACCTGGTGCTGATTGACTCTCTGCACCGTGTGGTCACCTTAGTAGACGTGACCATCCCATTCGAGGACGGGTGGGAGTCGTTTCAGGCAGCGCGCGCTACCAAGGTGCGCACCTACCAACCGGCCTGCGACTTGCTGGCAGCGAATGGGTGGACGGCGACAATCGACGCCTTGTGGGCGCCCTGGGGAGCTAGGGCTGGGACCCCACCAACTGGCAGGCCCTCAGGCGCCTGCGTTGCACCGACTCAGCATACAACACCACCCTGGCGCGCCTGTGCGTTTCGGATGCTGTCGCTGTCAAGTGGTCCAGGCATATATACACCGAACACGTCACAGGAAAACGCCAGTACGCCGCCGCCGCCACCCCCTCGTCACCCCCGGGCCTTAGCTGAACTGTCTCAAGTACCTTCGGGGAAAGTGGCGTAGTAGGGGGCTCACGCCATGGCCCGTGGGCCATCGTCGCTGCCGCCCTCCCCGTCTAGTTACCTCTGTATTTGAAGCTACTTCTTACTTTAACTTATCTATGTAGCTCTACTTATAGCTTGCAATCCTATTTATGCTCTGCATACCGGGCTGCACATTCCTGCCGCTGCTTGCCGCTTAACTTCTACCATTTTAATTTTTTCAATTTTTCTCTCTTCTTGAGCCTTTTTTTGTACTTAATTGGCTAGGTTGGAATGGAGAGGGAGGTGTGTGCTCACCCCCCCCCCCCCTAATTGCGCTTGCGCCTGTTTGGCCGTGCCGCCGGCTACTCGGCCCGTCTGGCCTGCATGTTCTCCATTGGCTCTATTATTCTAACCCTTTAACCCCTTAATTTTCACCCATAGGCTGCCATATTAGCCGTATTTAATTTTACTAATCATTTCTTTTTAACTATTTCACTCGGCTCCTCGGCAGTCTTTTTTATTCAGATCACTAATCTATTTGCTAAACGCTCTATGGCCAAGTCTGCTAGCCTGCACTATATTATCGTAACCCGCTGGTCTGCGAACCACAAAATGTTTATTTCAATAAACCAACACATATTTAAGTTAATCCTTATGTCAGTGCCGTCTGCCAACACAAGTCCGCTGAGCAGATAATCAGAC